AGGAATGAAAATTTGGTCAATACATCCTCTACCTGGACGAAATCCTCCTTAGTTAGGACGAGTGCGAAGATTGCGCTCAATCGAAAATCTACAGAGAAGGATGGTCGCAAACACTTTGGCGGATATATTGATAGTCTATAGGGCTTGCATAAAGATACAGACAGCAGAATGAAAAAATAAATAGAGTTTGTACTTCGTTATGGTCTATCAACGTCCGCATTTCCAATCTTTCGTAAGATTTTGTACCCGAGCTGGAGCCGAATACTTCAATTTATTTAATCACCGTCAAAGACACTTAGTTACAGAGGAAACAATAGGTTACATAAGCCGCCTTAGCAACTATTAACGTCAACATCGTATAAAACTAGAATGATAGCAAAGGGGCTTCTAAGCGTGGGGCACCACCACGGGCAATCGGCCAAAAGTACGCAAGAAAACAAAAATTGATTAAATTTCCGGCAAAAATATTCTCCTACGTCGATATAAAGCAACGAAATTGAGAGCGATATCATAAAAGATAAACAAAAATAAACCCTCAATAAATAAAATGGAATGAGTTAACAAAAACCACAATGCAACAAAGGGGCATATCGGTGTATGAATGTAGTTTTCAGCACGCACAGGGTTAAGTACCATAGCTATTAAGTAATAAATCAAATCCAACAAGTCTATTTCTTTTAAACCCGGGGGCTGTCATAACCTAACCGCTAACAATCTGCCCACACAGCCGCCGATGCAGTTACATTCGTAATCAAAATTTTGAATTCAGAGCAATCATACTATCTATCAGGCCCGATGACCGCCTATTTGTGACTGTGTAATCAAGGTCCTACTTTTTTGAAGTCTGACCATTAGGAAGAAAATTCGATCGCTGGGACAACGCTTTTATTCGCCTGGCGTTTCGACATCTGTTCCGGATTCTTCATTAGAGACATGAGCAAAAAGCCGTTACAGAATCGGATAATACATGCACAGGAAGTAGCAGTATTTATAGGACAGAGTCATTACGACACACGTAGGAAAAATAACGACAATTATCGATAATTGCCATCTTGTGTGTTGATGGCTTGATTACCGGCATGCGGGCTTTGACTTGCTGAACTTTCATCACGCGTGGTGGAGTTGGTCGTGATGATTGCTCGGTCGTCTTAAGAATTGGCGGCTCATTTGAGGGGACCCGGCCACTCATTCAAACTTGATGAGGCCGAAATTCTAGCAAGAGGTGACAATCGTGTGAGCCGAGAATTACTTGAGTTATGGTTCACGGTCCTCCAGTCCACAAACAACTGCAACGACTTGCGCAATCCGTATTCAGTGCTGAGGCTCAATTTGGCCAAAGCAAGTCGCCAATTGGGGAGCACACAGGCCACCACGTCGTCTTACGCAACATCGGAGAACCAGACGGCCGAGCAATCACCACGTCCAATTCCACCACGCGTGATGAAATATCAGTAAGTCAGGGCCCGCATGCCGGTAATCAAGCAATCAACACACAAGAGGGCAATTATCCTTAATTATCGTTATTTGTCCTACGTGTGCCGTAATGACTCCGTCCTATACTGCAACTTCCTGTGCATGCGTTACCAGCTTCTGCTACTGCTTCTTGCTCATGTCTGATGAAGAATCCGAGACGGATGTCGAAACGTCAGGTGAACAAAATTTTTGCCCCAGCGATTGAATCTTCTTATCAATTACTTCCTGGGACTCGTATGTTCGTTTGTGTTGACAGTCCGGTCATTGTACATAGGTTTTGGGGTAGGATACCGCTAACACGCAGTAGACAAAACCAGACGACGTCAGGTCTTAACGAGTTAAAACCTGTGTGGGTTTTGAATCGGATATGAACAACTGGCATCTGTTTCCATTAACAGATTTGAATGTACGATTTGAGAGGTTTTTGGATCCTTGAGGCGATAGTGGATGAGGAGGAACAGGTGTTATTGTCTAACATCTTATTTAGTTCAGGAGTACTAAGGCTTTGAAAATTAGCAGTAGATAACCCAGTGGTCTCATGAAGGCTCTAACCGATAAATGATCTATTTTAAGTCTTCGTTTGTCTGTCCCTAATCATCCCGATTTAATTTATAAGCGCATCATA